GCAATGTCGTCATTCACCAACGGAAGGAGAGGGGGAGCCCATGCAGCTAGGAAGGGCTCGGCTGAAGCAAGAAGAGCGAAGGAGATGACGGCAGGAAGGCAGATTCTTTTACTGCGGAGAGTCAGGTCATCTCATTGCTGCCTGCTCAGCTAAAAGAACCCAGGTGATGAGTCAATTCACTGCCTCAGGCTCCACTTCACGCACCCTCACGACAGTCAAGGTAATGCACCACACCACCACAGAACTTAAGGCGCTCATAGACTCAGGGGCTGATGAAAGTTTGATGGACTGGGGTTTAACAGAAGAACTGGGCCTCAAATCCAAACTTTTAGTCAAGCCCATCAAGGCCAAAGCCCTCAATGGAAAGGAACTGTTCTCCATCACACACATCACTGAACCTCTCAAGTTGAGCATAGACGAGCATAGAGAACATGTTAGCTTTTATTTATTCAAATTGCCCTCTCATGCTCTGATTTTGGGACAGCCGTGGCTGTTTCGCCTCAACCCACATGTAAACTGGAGAACGGGAAAAATCATGGGGTGGGGGAGGACTGTGTTGGTAACTCCAGGGCACACCTCGCTGCTTTCCTGCCATCCGGGAGTTCGGAGGACAATGTTTGCCATCTCTCAGAGGTTCTGGTGGCCATCCATGGAGCCGGAGGTCCGGGAGTACGTAGAGGCATGCTCAGTCTGCCACGAAACAAGACGTCCTCCGGGTCACGCATTGGACTCTTACAGCCACTGCCCATCCCCTCCAGACCGTGGTCCGACATCTCCATGAACTTCGTCACGGGGATCCCGGTTTCTCAAGGTAACACCACTGTCCTCACAGTGGTGGACAGATTTTCCAAGATGGCTAGATTTAGAAAACAGCGGAGATCATGATGAACTATGTTTTTAAGGTTCATGGTTTTCCCAAGGACATTGTCTCTGACCGGGTGCCCCAGTTTGTTTCCTGGTTCTGGAGGGAGTTCTGCAGGCTCATTGGAGCTAAGGCCAGCCTGACCAGGATATCACCCGGAGGCCAACGGCCAGACCGAACGCCTTAACTAGCGACTGGAAACCGGCCTCCGGTGTCTGGTCTCCCAGAACCCCTCTACGTGGAGCAAGCACCTGGTCTGGGTAGAGTATGCCCACAACCTACTTCCCACCTCAGCCACAGGTATCTCACCTTTCAAATGTGTATTTGGTTACCAGCCCCCTGTGGTGTCTGAAATGCTATGTGTAGTCTTCCCCATAAAAGAAATGTATCTTTGGGTTTGAGGCCCACAGGTCCTGAGGAATTTGAAGAAAGCCTGAATATATGTTAGGGCATTAGGTCACAGTTTTGAGGGGTACACTAAATTTGAGTTAGTGCCTTCTCTTCCTGTCACTGGACGGATGAGAAGAGCTGAATGAAAGCCAGATGTGTTTACTTTAGATTCATGAAAACAACCCTTCTATATAAACGAGGAGTTGAAGTTGCCCCCTTAGAAGAGATTCACATTGGCCACGAATCTCTCTCCAGGCAGGAGAGATTCACATTGACTTCGGATCTCTCCATAGGCAGATTGCATTGCTTGTATTGATGCTGAACTTTTTTGCAATAAACATTTTATACAATTAAGACGGTACCATTAATCCCCCAAAAATCTCTCATCTTTGTATTAACATACTCCATATTTGCTACTTCTGAGACAGGACCCAATTCTTTCTCATGTAAAAAAATGGGATGCATCATACCCATTTCATTTTGACAGCATTCAAAAAGCTGATTATGTTTCACAAGTGACTTACAGACATTTTTGAAGTTCAATTTAGATGACCACTGTTTGAAAAAACAGTGCTTTGACTCAAATCTCATGCACATGTGTCTTATCATAGGGCCCAGGGAAAGAATTTGGGCAGGGAGATGCAGCAGGTAATGTTGCTTAGGAATTACATAATTCTCAGGAAAAAGTTGCTTAAACTGTTTCAGATGCTGTTCAATCATACTTCTCAGTCTTAATACAGTCTGCACAGATAAAACAGGAGCAAAAAGTATATGTATATATCTCAATTAAGTCCAAAACAAACTGAACATAATCATTTTTCTCTATAGTATTCAGCAGAAAAGGCATGATCTTCAGCAATATCAGCATTTGTCCTGAGGACTGTTTAAGTTTGTTATTATTTGATGCCAAGGTACTGACACTTATAGGGCAGGGTTTGTCACGTACATCTACTGGTGACAAAGGAAAACTCTGCATGGCTGAATTGAACACATCCAACTCCATCTGTCCAGACAGAACAAGGTATTTTAACACACACTTAACTTCCATTGGTGCAACACCCTCAAGAATGATGTGCATTATGTCCTGTGGAGTTTGCCGAATGAGGTCAAAGGCTGGAAAATCAACCAGCTTGCTCCTTCTGTTTATACCATAGGTGGTTTTGAGGGCCGATTTCAAGAAGTCTGTGCTGGCCTTTTCTATCTCATGGCACTGTTGAATATGTTTTTCCATTGTCCTTTTTGTAAAGCTCTCTTCATTAAAATTAATTTGCATTTCCTCAAAGGTACATGTGTGTCACCACACACTGAAACTACAGCACCAAATAACTCAAATCCACCACTCTGTGTTTGGATTGTGACACCATTATACAGCAACTTTAAGTCTTCACCAATTCTTTGTAATACAAAATCAACACCACACTTGTCAATATCATCAGCTTTTGCTATAGCAAGGAGTCTGATTGAAGCCAACTTTGACCTAAACTTGGGGTTTATGTTTCCTAAAGTATAATAAACCATCAGTAATTTATTTACTGAAGCATGTGACCCGAGAGGATTGCAGATCTCTATTTCATCAGAGTATAACATGATCTGTAAAGCAGAAGGTTTCACTGAAAACAGAGGGTGGGATTTGAAAAGGCTCCCATCAGCAATATCATACAAAAATCCATCTTTGTGGCAGCTCTGTGGTGTGGTGCGGATCATATCAAAAATCCTAGAATTGGACAGCTGTTCAAGACTCTTAACCAGGGATATATAGTAAAAGCTTCTGTTTTTAATTCCAAGAACTCTTGATTGTCCTTTTTTTAACTCGACAAACCCTCTGAGACATAACTACCCCCTCTGGTTTAACTGGGTTAAAAAGCCTCTGGATGGTGCTGTCTTGCATGTATGTGGTGGCCATGAAGGAGAAAGGATCTTGAAAATTGTCTAATGTTGCCAGTACTTCCTCTTGTAGCTGCTCCACACTGTCTGAATGTCTTTCAAAAGATCCTCTTCATTGTGTCCCTCAAGGTGCTCAGAAGAGTAGTTTGATACTGCTGGACTTCAGAAAACAATGTTGTTGACGCTCCTCTGAAACACAGTCAAGAATGAAGTGTAAGATACATGATGTTTGTCCAATACAACTAGCATAACTATTCTTAAGACTCATTTGAACATTGATCATACCAAAATGGTCACTGTCCTTAAATATGTGGAGTATTTGCATATTCAAAATTACATCAAAACATGTCCCTCCTGTTGCTTGTAGTTACTGAAAGATGCTAACACTAATACTAATTGAATCCTAATAGCACCAGCATTACAACAATTAAAGCTAACATTAAGTTTTGAAAAATATTGAAATTGAGGATAAATTTGGGGCTGTTGTTACTCTGTCAGTGGGAATATGAAATTATCCAGATCTAGAAATGTCTGGTTACACCCTCTCAGGGTTCTTACACTTTTTCCGGAGTCACCAAACACTCTATAGTGAATAATTTAAGAATATAGAGCATTTTTAATACTTGCTTTATAAAATCAATTTTCCTACAGCACTTTTAATATTATTAAAGGATAAACATGTTACCATGATGTTAACATTATAATAATGATGATAATATTAACACTGGGTTATGTGCAATACCTGAGACAGGTGACATCTCTCCCTCACATTGATGGCAAATGCAGCTGCATGTCTAATATTTGCACTTGATGCACTAGCTCCTTCCTGTAAATTTATGTTGTGTTAATAATATACTATGTACATATAAGACTGGTTCACATCAAATGTTGAATAATATTGTCATACAAAATTGACAATATTAGACCTTACCTGATTATCAGGGTGTGGAACCTGATGACATGTAGGCTCTGCATCCAACATTTCATTTGCAATGACAGTTGTGTTGACTTCACTGTTGGTCCTTTGCATTCCCCGTGTTGCAGTGGCACAGTCAGAAAAAACTGGGATGTCAAAATGTTCACTTCCAACCCGAGATAGGTGGGGTGATTATACAGGGATCAACAACCGGCCTAGAAATTAAAATATCATTTATAGTTCTAGGATTTGCCAATTATGTATGTTTGTATGTCATTATTATCAGTTTTTTACACGTTTTAAACAGACTGACCCCCCTCCCCCTCAGTACCCTCATGTGGTCACGTCTGCCCTGTGACGGTTGGGAGAACTACAGGCTATCTGGACTGGATTCTGCTGCTAAGGAGAAAACAACTTTATATTAAAAATTATCAAGTTATACATTTTACAATAACGTTACAGTTTTACTCTTCACATTTACTCCACTCATCGCGAAAACTGCGGCCGTATCAATGAATAAATCGGTCTCCTCAATCTGAAATCCAGCTAGCTAACTTAGCTAATGTTAGAGGACCTTGCAGGTTGGGTGCTACAACATGGTTAGAAGTGTTTTCTTGTGCTTCTCTCCTGCGACTAATTGAAAACGTTGTTGATACATTTTTCGCGATTTTTTTTTTTTATCATGTGCTCTATGAATGTGGATATATTAAAAGCAACAGTGACTTGCGAGGAATGGAGCTAATACACATGAAGCGACCAGGTCACCGCAGTCTGTGAAACAAATAAAACACCCGTTGTCTTTTATTATGAAGAAAACCATGAGGGTAGAATTTGCGCTTTTATTTTGTAAACAGGAAGTGAACCTCCCCTCGCTAACGTTATAGCTCACTTCAAACCGCCGTAACTCTGTTTTCAATGACTATAGCGCCGGAAACATAAAGTTTTAAAGCTTCTTCGTGTGAGAAAGTCTCCGTTCAGTTCCTCGTTGTGCCGCCAGTTTATCCAAATAACGCTTGTTTGAACATTTGCTCCGACGAAGTCCAGACCGGCCGCACCTGCAGCGGAGCGGCGGAGCAGCCCAGCCGGTCTGCTGAGGTGATCTGCGGTCAAAGCTTCGCCGTCATACCGGTAGAAGAACACGAGCCGATTGATTCACCTGCAGCTTGTTGGAGATTACACGTGGGCTGGATAGCTTCGTGTTGTAAGATAAATGTAGGTCTCATAGATGAAAATAAACATATGTGGCAGCTACGTTAGCTTATTTGAATGAAAGATGTAAAATGTAAATAGTTGGCTCCGAGATTCTCCCGTTTTTCAAGGGGGGCGGGTAGGGGAAACACTGTAATCGTTTTGAATCGGTGAACAAAGAGTTTATGAGAAAGTATATTTTAAAATATCTCCTCATCATAGCCAAGGCTAGCTAAGCTGGAGTAGCTCTATGGTGGTAAATGGTTGAATAATCACATTTAAGTTACTGTTTGCCTTATTGTTTGTCATTTCCTGATATTGAATTTAGCCTTTGCGCAGTCACCCTTGCAGCTCATCCAGGTGTCAGATTCTGTGTCACTTTTGACGGCTGAAAGACTGAAAAACTGATCTAGAGTGATCCAACTTTACCTGTCCATGACTTGTGATGTTTTTTCGTGCCTTCCAGGAGCAACTAAAAGGGCCTTAACATCATGGAGGAATTGGATGATGTTACTGTTTCAGTTCTAAATGGTATGTTTAGGTGTTGCTGCATGCTACATAATATTGATGTGTATTACCATTTAACTGAATTATTGATTATGGATGATGATACTGATCTCAGAAACAAAATGTATTTCAGCTATTTTGCTATCTCAAAACTCCAAGTGACTATTTTTTTATTTAGATTTATTCTTAGATAATAGATGGAATAACACTTACACTGCAATTGGACTTTATTTACCTTGTCAAGTTGAGWAGTGCTAAATGTATAGGTAATAAATGGTATATGGTTTTTAATTCTAAAAGGTTTGTTAATGATTTGACTTTGTTTACAGCTGCCAGCATAGATGAGGCCTTACTCCACACCCTCAGTCGGGATGATTTAAGAGACCTTTTTCCTGGGCCAGAGAACTTTCTCAGGAGGAAACAACTGTGGACTCTTATTAGCCAAGAGGTCAGTGTTTGCCTACTTGTTTTGTTTTGTTTTGTTTCTAAAAAAAAAATACCTAGCACAACACATGTGCCATGGTTTGTCTCCAATTCCTTGTCCAYGTCCTGTTTTATTTTGAAGTTCCATGTCTTGTCCCTCCTCTGTGAGTACCTTGTGTGTCTCACGTGTATGCGATTGCCCCACCTCTGTCTCGTTTCCTCATGTATTTGACCTCAGCGTTTTCCCGGTTTTGTCCTTTGTTGGTTCGTCTGTGTCCATGCCCTGTGTTCCTGTGGTGCCTCCGTGAGTTAATAAAYTAGTTTTTGTTTTACTGCACTAGTTTTTGTGTCTGTCTGCATCAGGGTCCAGTTACCTAAACCGTAACATGTTGTTTCTAATTGTGTCATTTACCTTGTAATAATTGTGTTTTGATTTTTTTTCTGAGGATGAGAATGCCACTTTACCAGACAAAGCTGGCCCAGGTGAAACAGTAACTGTGTCATCACTTCAAGGATCACCTSCAGTATCCCCCCACACATCCACTCCTGTGTTGAAGAAAACCCCAAAGAAAACCCTAMAGCTTCCTAGTCCTCCAGAATATGTGATCTACACAGACACTGAGTTGGAACCAGCTCGTAAGCACCATTTTGAGATGGCCTGCACTGGTAGAGAGGGGGAATCTGCCATGTCCAAAGAGCTGAGATGCAGGCTGGTGAGGAACACTGTTACCAGCATGATTTCAATCTTGAGAGCAAGTCACCAAGGAGAGGAGCTCCGGTACCCTTCAGAGCATGAGGTCACCGCAATGGCTAAGAGACTAGTGGAGTATTATCCCATGCTACAGGATAAAGATGAACCCATCAAACATGTAAGTTCATAGTTTTGTATATAATGATATATTACAGGTATTTAAACTTTACATTGAAGTTATGATTAGGCTTTGATGTATTGTGATGTGACAGTATTTTCACTTATTTGATTCCATTGTGTAAAAATTAAAGTACAACAATCAAAATGTTATGTTTGCTGGCTTAAACCTGTCGTATCATTCAGATGACATGTCCAATACCTGTTGCTGATTTGTATTTCCTTTTAGCGGACAAAGATAGTCTGGCAGCACAGGCCARGCATTACAAGACTCTGCAGGAGATGTACAAGAAACCAAAACCCAACCAAGAGGCTGTCTGCCAGATCCTTGACCTTGAGTTTCAATCAAGAAGAGCCTTCATTGACAGTGGCATTCTGAAAGAAGAGGACAGACCAGCAAAGATTTTTGAGGCATATCCATGTTTCAAAGAKTGTCATCATGTAAGTGATGCACTTGTTGTTTTTGGCTTCTCACAAAGCTAGCATTGTTGCAGATTTTAACACTTATTTGGGTCATTCTCATGAAATCTTGGTTTCAAAGATTGGAGACATGGAATTTAAAAAAAAAAAATGGATCAACAAATTTCCTTTTTAGCCATTAATAACAAAGTCTGGAGTGGTTATGATTGTTATTTTAAAAATATTTACTGACAATTTAACACCTTTTTGAACATATTTTCCAAAACATGTCCTTAAARATCTCATTACCGCAATGGTCTGAAAACATCAAGACCATTCGGAAAGCCAAACAATTTTCAAATTTTTAAAAATGGATTATTAATAGTCATGCATAATAACTTGAAACTCTGCAATAACAAATATTTTTTAATTCACATTTTTTCTTTATTTTTCTTTTTTTTTCATTACCGCAATGCCTTCTGCAATCTACAACCTAATAGTTGTGATAATTCATTGAAACGTAACATATTTTCAAAAATATTTGGTAAACTTTAAAGCACTTGATGTACATATTCTGCACATGCATTTTAAAACAAACTACAATTTTTCTATCTATTAAATTAACCTTAAATGAACACCTGTTTCGGTAATGATACATAAGTTTCAGAAATGACAATGCATGTTTCGGTAATGATAATAACTATTAAGAAGTACAGTGTTAATGAAGAAATTCATACACATGTAAACAGAACCAAAACAACATGTATAAAAAAACAACAACAACAACAACACAGGGCTAAATAGAGCAACATTTCATTTCATTTTAACATTTTTTACAAAACACAGTCAAAATATTAGGAGGAAAACAAACAAACATGACTTTTGTATGCCAATGCTTCCTACTGCTACTCTATTTCTGCTTTGTGAATTTTGCCCAGATTTCCGGCAACACACAGAAGTGCCGAGCTGATGATGTTGCAGGTTGTGGCTCTGGGATGATGGCCTTAATGTCCTCGAAGTAGTACCACACCTTTTCTCCCTCAAAGCGGATTGATGGAATGAAAAATTTGTTTGGCCCTGCACAGCTCATGGTGTCTACTTCATATTGACCAGCGGCAATCTAGGAGCATAGTAAAACAGGWTAACTGAATAGGATTTAGGATTTATTATCAACAACATGACATGTCTATACTGCCAAAAAAATCTACATACCTGTGTAATGATGCCAGGGAACAGTTCACCATCATACTGAACAAGAACCCACTTTCCCACTTCCAAAAGTGGATTAGCATCCTCCTTTTCTGATTCCACATCTCTGAAGTCAAATGCTTTTGGGCTGAAGCATCCACAGGGGAAGCCACAAAAGCAGGACACTTCTTGGGTGTGGATAAAGCCTGGTTTTGTCGATATCATCTTAAGGAGAAAATAAAATAAATTTTAGTTGAATTTAAACTCGTCAAATACCATCATCCATTTAATACTTAAAAATGATGCTCAAAGCTAAATATGATGCAACATCTAATGCACCTATATAATGACGGAGAGAATCCAGACTAGTATTTAAGCGTTTTGTATCTTAACACTCGCACCACATGCTGATATAATTTCTGTGATGCAGTTATCCAATATCTTTTAGTGTTTAACTATAATTCTTTAGGGATCGTAGGATATTTCCTCCAGGAGAACATTTCCTGGATGTTACTAATAAGAGAGAATCTTAGATAAGTTGCGATATTGAGATGTGGGCCCATCAGAGATGAAGTGGATGTTCCTGGCATTTGGATGCTCCTCTCGTATGCCCCTCAGTACTGGGTCAAGGTGAGCCCATGTGGCTGTGGCATCGTGCTGCATGCATGCTGAGAGGGATGAGAATGACTCCACCTTGCCCCCACTAAGATAGAGAACTCCTGTGTGGAGCGTGACCTGCTGATTTCCACTTCCAAARTGAGTTTCTTTTATTTCCCTGGTGTATTTGCAGGCATAGTTCTCACTGTAGTCTATGTGAACGACTACGTCATTCTGGGTCAGGGTCTCTCGCAAGCTCCTCAGCCTTTAAAACTGGTGCTTAATGTTAAATATATGTCTGGAGAAGTTTGGGAGGTGGTCTTGAGTGAGCTCCACCAGCTTCTCAATTGAGGTGTGCCTCTTATCAAGAAGCACATTCCTTACTTCCTTCTCCTCAGTGGACCCATCTTTGCATCTCTTTATCAATGGCACAGATTTGGTAACCCACTCATCCCACGCAATGATGTTTCCTTTTNCCCACACTCTTCCCCTCACAGTCTGCACCACCTAAGAAGATGGGACAGGCCAGTGAGGCATTGCTTCATGTCCTTCAGGTGAGTTTGTTCATATTTTGTTAAGAATTCATTGTCTAAAATGTCCYAAGTGTTTAGTGGCACACACTCTTTAAACAGTGACTGAGGCACAAGTTATTTTCCTGATTTCTTTGCCTGGCATGTCTTGACCCATGGTCCTATCTTTAGAGCTCTGTTTTCATATACCACRTGTCAGTATGGTTGTGTTCATAGATATATACAGCTCTRGAAAAAAATAAGAGACCACTMTCACAAATGTTTCTTAAATCAGCATCTCTACATCTATGGCAGCCAGTCCATTCCAGTGTTTGTTCCATTCCAACACAAGCCTCCTCATTCTACTTTACTCTACAAAAAGATTACAAAAACCACTGCTGTGATTAAAGATTGAGATTATCCCACCAATAATGATTTCTAAACTCTTCCTCAGTTAAAATATTAGTGTTGTGTTGTTTAAAAATGAATATGAACATGGTTTCTTTGCATTATTTGAGGTCTGAATACACTGCATCTTTTTTTGTTATTTTGACCAGTTGTCATCYTCTGCAAATAAATGCAATAACTGGCAATATTTTMATTTCAAATTTGAGAGAAATGTTGTCAGCACTTTATAGAATGAAACAAAAATGTTAATTTTACTCATAGCATACCTATAAATAGTAAAACCAGCCAAACCGATCTCTTAATTTTTTCCAGAGCTGTAGATGTACATAATGGTGTTTAAAAAATCTCAGTTCA